GGTTTTGCCCTTTGCCTCGAGACTTTACTCCGATAATACAAAAAAAAAAACTAGCTCCAATAGGACGAGAGTACTATTCTAAATGCCATACCACCCGGCCCCCGACCCCCCAAAAAACAAGCCCTTTTCCTTTCTTTGCAAACTCCAGTAGCTACTTTCTTGTAACTTACTGTCCAATTCCAAAAATAAAGCCACACCCAGGTTTCCTCTTTTCCCTTCTCCCCCTCCATCATAAGACTTGATGATTCTGGCATCACAAGAACAAGTGCACAACGAAAGGCAAAAGGGAAACCTCCACATCCACTAAAAGAGAAGGTAGTACCTGCACCACTTAATCATGGTTTCAAATTTCACCAAGTTGCAAAGTGCCTCGACCTTAACACACTTACATCTACTCACGTAAAGCAAGGCGAGTCGAGCCTTAACATATAGATATTGCGCGTATTAGTCTTATGAAGTTACCATCTTTATCGTGAAGTCGCAAAATTTTGCGACTTATTAATAACCTATCCATCCAAACCATTCATATAATGGGTTGCCTCCACCCAATCCCTCATCCAACAAAACGAAAAGTACATGACCTAGATAGACCGGACCCCTCCCTCATATATAAGAGAAACTTATAAGCAAAACTAACTACCCATCACGGCTCCTCCATGCACATTGATATCGACATACATAGCTAGAGCTAGATCTCACAACGAAATATTTCCATCACATTATAAACCCTATCACGTGTTCATCTTCCAACCCAATTGCGTACTTCCTCCCCTCTTGCTTCCACATATCCAATATAAAACCCTAACCCTAGCTTAGCTAGGGGCCATGAAGGTTGAAAATACGTAACCTCCCGGCCACGACATAACACAACGGTTGAGCTAGCTTTATCTTTCCACGCATAATAACTAATCGAATACGTATGCATGGTCCCCAAAAAAAAAAAAACCCATTCCCAATCCCGATTCAAGGTTTTGGTTTCGGTTTCATAGGATATGTTTTGATAAACATAGAGTGGGGTACGTTCCTAATCCTAGCTAGAGCTTTGGAAATTTAGGGCATCGAGAGGGCAACAAGCAGGCGCAACATAGAGTACTGTGGATTTTAAGATTTGGATCTGGGCCGATAAACAAACGGGTGTGGGCCCGTGGAAACGGGCCATGCATGTGAGCGACATGATGATGACGATGAGAGGAAAAGTAAGACATCGACGGATACGTAGCTGCTGCTTCGATTAAATTACTAGACCTCAAAGTTGTGTACTTAAATTAATAGGGCCATTAGGCTTCCCTTTTATTATGCATATTATTTTAGCAGAGCTAGCTAGGGTTTCGTAGCCAAAGCCCACACGCAGGCCGCAGCAGCAGCCCATATGTCGCCAGCCAAGGATACAAAGACTCACTCTCAATCACGTGCCTATCGTTTTCTCTAGCAGTACTACTGCTCTCTTCCTATGTGGCTATACTTCAATCCCAAGCCAGAAAAAGACAGCTTCTTGATTTTCCTCTCTGGGGTTTTTTTTTAGGGTAGCCCTAAGGAAGTAGAAGAAGAACTGAAGAAGGAGGTGAAGGGCTAGCTAGGTAGAAGCAGAAGCTGTGCAGGTGGGTAGTAAGTAGAAGAAGAAGAAGACTGAGGTAGCTATGCTAAGATTCAAAACCTGTGAAATTTTCAACCAACTTTTAGGTTATAGCTTTGATGGGTCCTGGGTTTTGCTTAGCTAGTTTTCCTTTTTGGGTTTTCTTAATTAGTGGTCAGAAATGGTAAATCAGCCACTTTTTTTCTTCTTTGTGAAATGAAATGGGCTTTATTTGGTAGCCAAAATTAGCAGAATGCAGTTCAGTTGAATGATCAGTCTTTTGAATCAGTATATCCTTGTAAGAAAAGTAATTGGAAGTTTTAATTTGCCAAGGGCTGAATCGGGTGGGCTTCTCATTCATTTGAAGCTTCCTATTCTGGCCAAAAGTTCCCTTTATACTGTTTTACTTAATTATTACTAATATGAAAGTTGCAACCTATGAACAAGTAATGAAACAAAGCCAACTTTTCTTAGTCCTTTGTCATTCAGTTCTCTACAACAGTTTAGTGTGTTCCTTTTGACCAGACTCTCAACTACTGATCTCTTGGGCTTGTTTATGTCGAAGCTCCAAAAAATGCAGCCTAGTTATTCTGCTAACTTGAAGATTCATTAGTATACTAACTAATATCCAAAATGTATGAATTAATATCCAAGTCTGCTAAGTGTCTAGATAGCATAGACTAGTATTCAAAACATCACAAACTAGTATCTAGATAGCAGATGCCAACTAATATCCACAATCAACCAACTAGTATTCAATATGGATACTCTTATGTGTTATCTGGATACTATTTATGTGTTGTTTGGATACCATTCTGTGTTGTCTAGATATTAGTTTGTGAATTTGGGATAATAGTTGATTCATGGTGGATATTAGTTAGCAAACTCTGAATACTAGTCTGTGCTCTCTAGATACTTTAGTAATGAGATATTAGTTCATGTATTTTGGATATCAGTTAGTATCTGCTAACGAATCTTCAAATTAGCAGATTAACTTTCCCAAAAAATGTTGGTGCTAGCTAGCTAGTATTCTCCAGCAATATCTTCAAAATCTAATTGTAAAAAACTACTCATCGTGATACAATAACTACTGCGATTTAGATATGGTCATAAGAATAGGCTATGCATATCATGCTTTGCTTATGCACCATCAAATCAATGAATAAAATTCAGAATAGGGAATTCCCCGTTCAAAGTTGAAGATAGATATATATTATTAAAAAGACGTGCCAATCACATCGATTCCTAGCAAATAAATACTTGACCATGCTCGACCAAACTGGCCATAAGAACACAAACTTCTTTTGCCTTTTGTTCTCAAGAATGGAGACTTTTGGTGGGCCTTCTTCCATTTTCTGTCCACCGCCGAAGGGAGAGGGCTAAAGTAGCCGGCCTGCCGGGCTTGTCAATTGTGTCATTGGGATTCTCTGTTGGAATTTATTCATTTCTTTATCCTTCTTTGATCTTTCTTTTGGGTGTTAATTGATTGCAGACAGGAGTGGATAGCAATAGAATAGATAGTTTTTGTTTGACCCTATTATGTGGGTCGAGTGGCTATTTGTTCAGCATATAGATATTTTATTATATAGGACTAGGGGTGTCCATTCGGGTTCGGTTTTTCGGGTTTACCCGAAACCGACCCGATTATGTACATTTTCGGTTTTTTGGGTTCGGGTTCGTTTCGGGTTTCGGGTTTTTCGGTTTTGGGTTCGGTTTTGCTTATCGGTTTTTCGGGTTCCGGCTAAAAACCTCCAATGAATAGAACTCAACCCTTATTTTTATACTTTCGGGTTTTCGGGTTTCGGTTTTGCTTTAACCGAACCCGAACCCGATAAGGAATTTTCGGGTTTCGGGTAACCAAAACCCACAAGTCCTTATCGGGTTCGGGTTCGGTTTTAGTGATTTTCGGTTTCGGGTTTTCGGGTTTTTTCGGGTTTCGGTTTGGGTAACCGAACCCGACCCGAACCGACACCCCTATATAGGACACTATAATTATATAGAGAGGGTGATTTTTTAAGGTTGTCCAAAAACAAAAACAAAAAACAAAAACTAATTCAGGGTTTTTTATAGGTCAATCATTGGTGTGTGTGTGTATGTATTTAAAGAAAATAACAGGAAAGAAATAAGAAGAATGGAAAACGGGAGCAATAAAAGTTGTCCCACGGAGAAGAAGGGCTATGTTGTGATGGCTGATGGGCGGACCGGTGTGGTTGAGGCGATCATGAGCTCGGCCCAGGCCCAATAGCAAAGTAAATGTGGCATAATGGATTTAGCAGACTTCGAAGGCGTTATGGGCCTTAATTATCTGCTCGTTTGCTCCGGTGTTGCATGGCAATTTGATGGCTGTTTAATTTGATTCCACATACCACTAGCTGTGGGCTGTGGGGTGGATGGTTTTCTCTTTTTAAAAGCTATTTGCGCTCATTATTTTGATGAGTTGATTGGGTCAAATTATACTGTTGTTTGGATGTACAAACTTCAGGTGATATTTCAGGCCTGAATTGATTGAATGAACTGGTAATTGAAAGGAAGGGGAGTTTTTAATTAACGTGGTTGGGTCTATTTTCCTTTCGATATCCTAATTTCACCTCTAGCTTTTTGGCTGAAATGTGAGTGTCTTTCTTTGAATAAAAAATGGATCAAAATTGAATTTGAACCGATTCAAATCGAATCAAATGAATCAAACATGCTTTTTTATAAGTTTTTAATATAAAACCGTTCCTTCAAGAACCCTGGGAGTGTAATTTGGAGCCCAAAAGAAAAGTGGATTGGGAGGAGCCCATCACGGGCATAAGATCCAGGGATGCCTCGCGCGTACCAGTTATGTCGTAGGCCCGAAGAGTCCATCATGCGTTAAGCCCATTAAGCTTTCGATAATGTGTTGGAGGATTGCGAATCATTAATTGCTAGACAAATTAAACCTGATCGTTTGTCATTGTTTTTTTTTTATAATGGATCGTTTGTTATTGTTAGAGGTGGTAATAGCAGACGGGTAGGAGAGCGGGAGAGTAGAATTTGAGTTTGGATTAGGTATGCTCTAATAACATTTGTTGAATTTGATAAGTTAAATAAAATTTTTTGGAACTTCACTTACACTACAAAATAACAAACATACAACAGGGTTTTTCCCACTTTTAGCGACGAAAAAAACCGTCGCTAACAAGCCCGGCAGCGGTTTTTATTACCCCTGCAAAAGCGTCGCAAGAACAACCGTCGCAAAGTAATGGCAGGGGTCAGCCAAACCGCAGTAAATGGACTTGCAACGGTTTTTTTGCAGCGGTTTTTCTGTCGCAATTGGTCTACTTTTTGAAGCTTTCACGACAGTTTTGTAGCCCTGTGTAACTTTTTAGCGACGATTTATACGATTTTTAGCGACACTTTTTTGAATATTTTTAGCAACGCTTTTTAGCCCATTTCTACAACCTGCTAAAACATTTCAATTTTTTCATAAATTTCTAGAACCCCTGCAAAGTACCTTCAAAGTCTACATTCCCCATATCCATGCCACACAATGCTAACTTCCAAAGTACACAATATTACTACACATTACTACCAAAGTACACTTTAACAAAGATAAAGTTCCAACTAAATCCATAATATTGAACTTTGACTTTCTTCTGAATCACCAACAGCTCATCTTTATCCTGTTTTAAAGGCAACCAAAACATATAGCTCAAAATCAATTTACATGTACAACTCAAAATCAAATTACATCATCTATATGAGTATATGATATGACTCACTTGGTGCATCTGTTGTAGTTAGAGGGGACTTTCTGTATCTTCATGGAGCTGGAAAAATAATAACAAGACAACAAATTCAAATATATAATTAATCACTTCACTAATTAATTAGTTACTCTATATATAGCTATAACCCAACCTGCTTGACTAAGAAGTGAACTAAATTGGAATAGAATGTCAAAGGGGATAGGAATATACTGTCACATTCTCAATGACAGAAAGGAACCCAAAAAAGAAAAGGAGGCTGACTTTTTGTGTTAGCAACTTAGCATGGAATACATGCAACAGGTTATGAGCTTGCAAACATTCCAGAGGCTGACTTTTTTACTTACCTTTTGTCATACCCGTGTAGTACTTTGGCTTGATGAAGATGGCGCACGAAACGAACTCTCCATTGGCCCCTTCTCCCTACGAAGATGTTGCAAGAACAGTGTCTTCAGTGTGTCTACTTCCATTTGCAGCTGATCCATCCCACTTCTCAGTTCAACTACCTCACTTTTTGCTTCCATCAGTTCATTTCTCAGTTCAATTACTTCACTTTGTAGGGCGTCTACCTCATTAGAGTTTGATGTCGTGGTAGAATTTATTGAAGCTGACGAAGAAGAAGGCCCCAAATAAGTCGAGGGCGTTGGTCCCAAACCAGCACAACGAACCCTCCCAGGATGCTCTGGCCCATGTACCTTCTGAAAGATCTGTTCATTATCAAAAGAACCTTCTTGTCGAAGAGTATGGGCCTTCTCCTACACAACCACAAAAAACAAAAGAAATATACAACATCTAATAAGCAATTTTTTCATTTCTATTTCGATCTAATCATATTGTTCGTAGTGCTATTCATCATACACGATGCAGTAAAGACAACAATCATAATAGCAAAGGAAGTTTACTCATCTTGCACAACATAGCAGAATAGCAAAGAAAGTTTACACATCTTTACACATCTATGCAAACCAAATTCAGTAGGGTTTCAATCAAGTAAAATAATAAGAAATTCTTACAATTAGGGTTGCTGTATACCCATTCACATAGGTCCCGTTCTTTCTTGTATGAGTATTCTCAAATGTTTCCAACCTATCAGGTTCCTTTCCGGTTTCCATAGTCTAATAAACATAAGGACAAAGTACCTTCATTTGTTAATGTCCATTTAAATCTGTAAAGAAAATCAAACAAGTCAAATTAAGTAAAAAACATACTTTTATAGCCTTCCACCTTGCAATGCTCATCCTTCCACATGTATGTGGAGTCTTCATGTTGCTAGCATTTTCAGCGTTTATCCTACTCAGTCTCTACAAATGATGCAGTCATAAGTTTAAGAAGTCAAAATTTAATAAATCTAATGATGAAAATCAAATAAAGTTAAAATTTATACCTGAAACTCTTCAGTATACCATCGGTTAACCAAAGTCAGCCAATGGGTATCAATAACGCCTTCAGGCTTCGGTATTGCAAGAATTTCTTCAATAGACAGCTCAGGATCATAATATTTACTTTTCAGTTTCGTCTTGTAGTCACTCCACCTTCTATTCACAGTTGACAAAATCCATTTGGTGGTAGCAGCTAGATATCGAAACTTCGTCTGGTTCAAGATAAAAGAAAATTAGTCTCTAATTTGATAGCAGCAGTTGAAAAGATCAAAAGAAGTAAACAACTCAAATAATTAATTCAGCTAAAGCATCCAAAGAGACAGCCGAAGACAACTAAATATCATCTCATGGAATTCATAATTAAACAAATTGGCAGAGACAACTAAACAGCTAAAGACAACTAAACCAGCTTAGTAGAAATATACAAGACTTGGTGGAGAAAAGAAGTGCAGATAAATTTAACCCAATTGAAACCAAAATTGCTGAATCTAGGGAAAGATCCAGAGGTGTAAACATACCTGAACAAGATCCAGTATCTTTGCTTTATAAGGACGAAACTCAGCCTTTCTCCAATTAAGTTCCAAGGGTGTAAACAGTCCATTTCTAGCTACAACTCCAAGGAAAGATGCAAATAAACCAGATTCTGGACCACATGGAGTTCCATGTTTATTCACCTCAACATCAATTTTTTCATTTGGATTCATGTTCCATAAATCAGCTAGGACTGTTGGTCCTCTCCTTCTGAATCTTCTCCCATTATTGTCTACATATAAGCACAAAATAATTAGAAGTATAAAGAATTCAATGTAAAAAGTAACCAATTATTCCAATGAATAAAAGAACATTACCAACATAGGTAGTAAATCCATCATATCCAGTTTCCTCAATGACTTCTTCTTCAATCTGTTTTTTCCATTGCCTAGAGCTTGAGGATGCAATTCGCTTCTGATATTCATATCAACTAGATCCTGCCGAGCTTGTAAGTTGTCTTTTGTTTTCGTCTCAAGATTCAATAAAGTACTGATCAGATTATCACACACGTTCTTCTCTATATGCATCACATCTAAATTGTGACGCAATAAATTATGTTTCCAATACGGCAGCTGGAAGAATATACTTCTCTTTTTAAACCAATCTGCCCACTCACTCGAATTACCAACGGAACTTGAATCACCATCACCCTCCCTCCTCTTCCTCTTCGTCCTTTTTCTCTTCACATCTTTTTTCCCATAACAGAATTGTCTCCCTTCTAACTTCCTTAAAATTTCACTTCCATTGATTTGTTTAGGGGCTGTTCTTTGCTCATTTGTGCCGTCAAAATAAGAGCGTTGAGAGCGAAATGGATGATCATCCGGTAACCACCGACGATGCTCCATATAACAATACTTCCTACCATGATCCAACCACTTGGAACAAGTGGATCCTCCACAAATTGGGTAAGCAAATTCCCCATATGTACACCATCCAGATAGAATTCCATAGGCAGGAAAGTCATTTATCGTCCACATTAAGCTAGCACGCATACAAAAGGTTTCTTTAGTGGAAGCATCGTACGTGGTGACACCCTCCCATAGTTTCAACAAATCAACAATCATAGGTTGTAAGTATATATCAATGTCATTACCAGGACCCTTAGGTCCAGGAATGATCATTGACTAGATAAAAGAAGATTCCTTCAAATACATCCACGGAGGCAGATTGTAAGGAATCAATACCACCGACCATATACTGTAGTTGGTATCATTGTTCTATTGGGATTGAATCCATCACTACTAAGAGCTAGTCTAATATTGCGAGAATCAGAGGCAAAACTAGGATACCTAGCATCAAAAGCCTTCCACGCTTCCCCATCGGTTGGATGTCGCAATAACCCATCTTTCCTACGATTTTCATCATGCCACCGCATGTGTTTCGCTGTCTTTTCTGAAGCAAACAGCCTTTGCAGCCTTGGAATTAGAGGAAAATAGCGTAATACTTTCGTTTCTTTCCTACGTTTTCCATTTACGTCATATCTTTCTTTATGGCAAACAGAACAAGAAAGTGCATCTTTATTAGTACCCCAGTACAAAGTACAATCACTTTCGCATGCGTCTATATTTTCATAGTCTAAACCTAACCCTTGAACTATTTTCTTAGCTGCACCATGCGACTTGGGTAAAGAAACTCCTTCCGGGAAGACATCTAGTAAAAGCTCAAGCAATTTTGTAAAAGACTTTGCTGTCCATCCATTGAGAATTTTCAGATGATATAAATGTAATAAGAAAGATAGTTTTGAGAAAGATTTGCACCCAGGATAGAGTTCTTGTTCTGCATCTTGAATCAATTGTGCTACTTCTGGAGTATCCTCCTCTAAAACTTCATCTAAATCATCCATTTCAAGATTTTCTCCCAGATTCTCCCCATCTTCATGGGTAGAATCTCCGTGGACAGAATGATCATTGTTTACTTGGCCATCAGCAATGAATGCATCTCTAATTAGTCCAATCAAGTCTGCCCCAATTCGCGGACTCGATTGAGTAGGGGCAGAATCTTGTCCATTATTCGTCATAAACGACGATGACGGACAAGGTTGTGAAGTAGAAAAGGAAGGGATGTTAGTTTTATATGTCTCTCCATGAAAAATCCAATAGGAATATCCTCGTAAAAATCCATCGCAAATGAGGTGAACTCGAGCATTCTCACGCGTTTGAAAATTAACGTTTGCACAACGGATGCACGGACACAAGATTTTTCCTTCTGAAGATGCATTTTGGAATGCAAAATCAAGAAAGTATTCTACCCCTTCCTTGTATTCACGACTAACTCTAGACTTGTTCATCCAACTCTTATCCATTGGATGGTACAAAAACTGAAAATCAGTATAACCTAAAATGGAAAACCAACATAATGAATATCATAAGAATGGTGTTCTTTTTTTTACTTTGTTAATTTATTCAAAGGAACATGATGGAAGCTAGAATTAAATTAGTATACTGTAATGGTTTGTCGGGGGAAGGGACAGCAAACAGGAGAGGGGAGTATATACTAGATAACAAAGATAGAACACATAACATCACTTGGACAAAATGTAATAAAAAAAACTAAAATTAGTAGTGTACCTGGTAATTAACGTGGCACTTGATTAACAAAGAATGTGTACAAAACTTCAAAGCAACAGGAAGCCCCTCAAGCAAGTAAGTTGTGCTTTATACATTCTTCCTTTGGCACTTTATAAAAACTACAAGTAATGTTGGACGACAATTAGAACATGGTCTTAACTCATAAGTTTGGATGGCCAGATAAAAGCTGCAACAGATAGCTTCATTTTCATATATAAGCAACAAATCCTAACTATTACAGAATCCAACAAAACCAACTACTAATTCCATGTCCTTAACCCATAATGAACATCATCAATGACATAACACATATTATAACCTGCCATTCCTTTCCTCTATATAAACTATGTACATGGATAACCTATTATACAAGCATTCATGTACAGAGAAGTATCCCATAAACGTGAGTTTACAAGCCATGAAGAAGCTTACACAAGAACAAGTACCCTTTATCTTCTCCTCCTTGCTAGCTGGAAATATACACCCCACAAAACCAACTCCTACTGTGTGTATAATATATATATCTATCTGTATCAAAGCTTCGGATTGCTTTAACATCTTACACCTAGATCTACGGAAGAACATCAGAGGCATTCGTGTACACAAGCGGTTGAACTTATCTATCACTAGTGGGAGCAGAGAATTAACGAAAGAGGAAGAGGGATGGACTCACACAGGTTGACGAAATCCCAGATGGCAAAGATTGTGAAGAAAATTGATCAAGTCTCGTCGCAGATTCACTTGACTCAGCTGATTCGGTTACTACGTTCAGAGCAATCAAAAAGCACAAATCATATTTAAGAACTATATTATGCTCGAGATCAGAAGAAATCCACAAGCACATCTTAGGTTTAGAAAGTACCAGAAGAAATAGTTGGAATGCGGTAGCAATCGATGATCGGAGAGCTGGCAAGAGGAGAAAACGGCTTCGGAACAATCTGTTAGCAGAAAACGGCTTCGGAGGAGGAGCGGAATCGCCGAATTGAAAATCGGAGATAAGCTTACGGCGAGATGAGGCGAGAGCTCTTTCTCGATATGGAGGAGGAGGAGGATCGGAGAGCCGACGAGAGGAGAAAACAGCTTCAGAGGAGGAGGAGAATCGACGGATCGGAGATCGATGATGGCGAGATGAGCTGAGAGCTCTTTCTCGATTGTTTTTTCCGGTGCAGAGCTTTTTTTTTTATAGAAAGCAGAGCTTTTTCTCGATGATAAGGAATGCGATAAAAACAATTTTGTTGAAAAAATGAGTTTCAGTAAAAATTCAAAATTGGTTTGTTTTTTTTTTTACAAACAAATTGGGTGGTTGTTTGTTCCACTGGATCAATCGCTGCACGTTTACATGTTTGGGCCTATCAGCGGTTATAACATTCGCTGGGCCATTCGCTGCCAAAAGTGAATGATATAAATCGCGGCAGCGGTTACTCCAACCCTTGGTAGAAAACCGCTGGGCTTGGCCCAATCGCTTGTACTGTTATTACATTCTAATTTGAAAATACAAGCTCACATTGTAATTGTAACCCACCACACACTAATATTTCTCTCATTAGTCATTACAACCCCTACACCACTCACTTCCTTTTCCACTTGATCACTCTTGTTCTCTTCTCTGTTAGGAGCCGTTCGGATTGATATATTTACAAAACGAGTAATTTGACCAAGTGTTCAAAATTTTGGAAAATATGAACATTTAATAGTGTAAACATTTTCAAATATATTGTTTGCTAAAATAGTTTTTAGATGAGTCATTTGAATGTTACCACTTTGCCTTTACATGTTATACATTTTATTTTTCTGGTTTCCTGTCGTAATAAAGCCAACCACGAAAATTTTCAACCAACATATATCACATTATTTGATTATTAGTCATATATAACACTAATGTTTATTTTTTAATTATAATTTTATCTTAAGTTTCTTTACAAATCGTAACGGACTAAAGGCTTCAAAGTATATAATTTTACAGATATATACAACCTATATTTTAAACTCGTTTCCAAAATAACCAACTATTTTACTAGAAAATAATTGAAAAGTAGTATTGGAATGCAAATAATTGAAAAATATTGGACCTATCAAGGCACAATAGAGAAGGGTTAGTATAGGTTTCATGGAAAAAGGAAGGGTTAAAATTGAAAAGCAGTGACAAAATGACGAGTCATTTTGTCAATGAATAGCGGGATGAAATTCATTTGCAAATAATTCAATTGAGTCATTTGAGATTTTCAATGCAATAAAATGACTCATTTTCTTTCACATTGATGAATGAATCATTTGGTGCTAAATAAATATGATTTGAATCTTTTATATAGAATGACTCGTTAAAATACGAATTCTGAAAGTTGAATATAGAAAATCATAAACGATAGCAAAGTCAAATTCTGAAAGGGGATTCAGGAGGGCAATTTAGATTTTGGGGACAAAAGAGCAGTGAAAGCTTTGATTTGGTGTTTGGTTGAGGTTATTTCCTTTGAATCCCATTTTCTGTTGGTGGTTTCGCAATACAAGTTTGCATTCATTTGAGTACATAATTATATGTATTGATATGATCACAAATTTCAAACCTTACAAGTTCCAATTCATCATTCCAAAATCGGATCAAGTTGAAGGAAAACAAGCTGGAAAATTGCTAAGTATTGAGACAGTTCCGGGAAGGCTACTTTGGAAGAATGTTTCTCTCAAATGGTTCAATGAAAATGCAAGGTTAGGATCTTGTTTGGAAGCTTGCATGTCCCTCTAAAACTTGGTGCACTTGGATCGTGGAAAGGAAGCCAGAAGGGTTGGCTTGCAAGGCGTGTAAAACCCTATCCTGCAACTGGAAATCTGCCTGTTTTTTACTAAGGCAGATAGGCAGTTTGAGATAGTAACTTCGAGCTCGAATGGACAAGATTTGGGACACGATAAGCTGGAGCTTGGAGTTGGGGACGAAAGTGTGAAACCTTCTAAACCTAGGGAAGGAATTGGCTGAACTCGAATCAACCCAGAAGGCCATTTTCAAAGAGCTAGAAGTTGGTATGAGGACTGATTTCCTGGATAGTTTGCTTGGCAAAGAAGGAAGTTACTTGGATTGCAAGTTTCCGTGTTTTGCTTGTTTTCCTTTCCTTGTTTTGTTTATAATTCGTTTCCAAGTTTGATTAGGATTGTGTTATAGGGTTTCCTTGGCTATAAATAGCCTTTCTCATTAGTTGTAAGACAAGTTAAGTTTAATCGAAAGTTTACTCCGAGGAGTTTTCTCAAAGCTTGCGAGCTAATTTGTTCTTGGTTTTTGGCCGAGAATTGCAGACCTAGAGATCGAGTCAATCATCCTCGATCTTGTGGTAATATCTACCCTAACTAGCCTCTTCCCTCTCGTGTTGAAGTTGCTTGTTCGGTTTTCACCATTCATCCATCCATCACCTCTGTTTTACCACAAATTCATCACCACCTCGATGACAACTACCCTAGTTGCGTGCTTTGATCCTTCGAGTCCCTTCTTGGGCTTATCGTGTATGTTTGCTGGTTGTAGCGGAAAGTGTTGTTTGCGAACGAGAAAGGAGGAAGAAGATGAGAATGGTGATTAATTGAAGGGTGATATTGTATTTTAAGTATTTATCATGAGATGATAAATGAAAAGTGTCACATTTAAAGTTTTCATCCAAACGAGATATTTTTTTTATGAAAATCCAAACGAGATATTTTCAACAAACGCCTCTCATAAAATGTGTGTTTTTGTTAAAGAATCATTTGGATAGTTTGAGAAAATTTTGATTCAAACGACCACTAAAACTAATGTAGTTAAGAGGAAAAAAACTCAATTCTTGTGATTATTGTTCCATCTAGGAGTGGAAATTGGTACGGTATCGATATTCCAATACCAAATACCAAAATCCTAAATACCGAATTACACCCTAGAATCTCAATCCCTAAATAATTTCAGTATCCTAATCTCAGTCCCTAAATATTTCGGTATCCAAATCGGTACTTCGGTATCCCAGTCGGTATTATTGAATACGAAATTAATTACCTTTACAATTAATAATTAAATATATAAATTAGATTTGATTGTTTAATATAGGACAAAAGGACTAAACAAAGAGTTTTGAGTTTGGCTAGAGCTAGGATATGGATAAGGAGAATGGAGTAGAGGTAACATCTCAAGTTTTTGTCATGGGCAATCTTTAATTTGACGAATTGGAGGCTGAGAGAGGACTAATACTAGTGTTTGCTTTTTGGTGTTATGAAAATAACAATAGATTGGTGGTTGAGGGTAGTGTAGTAGTGAATGAGAGAGTCTAGTTGAGAGGATAAAATACACACTAGCTTATATTTCAGTATTGTTCGGTATTTCGGTATATACCGATCCCAATCCCGTAATTCCTAATACCGAATATCAATTGAAATAGAATCTCAATCCCAATCCCAAAAAATAATACGTGTATTCGGTAATACCAAATATATACAAATTCGGTACGGTATTCGGTATATCCAAATACCGGTACCAAACTTCCAGCCCTAGTTCCAGCCATCACCATCGCTGCTTTCGTTATGAATTAAGGTATATGTTCTTGATCTATTATTTATTTGTGAAATCACCTAATTCTAAAATCCAAAATGTTAGGATCTTTGCTTACACTAGCAACTTCAAATCACCTAACTTTCCCCCCTTCAAATCACTACTTAACAAATTGATTGCATATACTTAGGGGTCTGGATGGGCTGATCATGGATTCTGACAAATTGGGTCCAGTTTGATGTAATTGATGATCCCATGATGGTTGAGTTGTTGGTACTTCGGGAGGCTATCCAGTGGCGTTTGGATTGGAGGTTCTAGGAGGTTAGGTTTGAAGGCGATGTCAATGTTGTGGTTGATAAATTGAATTCCGCCAATGGTAGCGATGGTCGGGCCGACGCCATCTTTCAAGAGGTTTTGCAGCTTCTGGCAATGCATCAAGGTTTTACTGTGCGATTTATAGGACAAAGTAGCAATAGGGTAACTCATGTGGTGGCTCGTAAAGCTCTTTTGTTGTACTCAACTACATGTTGCTTTTTTGATTTTATGGTATGGCTTGATTGTGTGACAGGATGTACTAATATTTTCTCAATCAATATAATGACTATCGTTTGTAAAAAAAAAAAAAAGTATTGCATATACTTAGAGTTTTTTTCTTCTTTTTTTTTTGGTGTTCTACTGGTGAAGCATACCAATTTTCAAGGAGCTAAACAAGAAAGCCGGCCGAAATCCAAGGATTGGTAGCCCTGTCGTGAAATGACTTTACTTTCGGGGATCAACAACGTTAAACGTAATACGTTGACTGAAGTGATAACACATTCAGAAGATTTCAAAACTTGCACAGAGAGAGAGAGAATCAGTGCAGCATGCCATTATACCCATCTGTAGGGTTGAGGGCAATGATTTAAATGATGGGCCAACGACCGCAACCACCGTGTCCACGCCTCGGCAAACCACTGTTTGCGCACAAACATGACGTGATGGTCGAAACATGCACATCAGTCGTTCGACGGATTGCCTAGGAGAGTAGAGACACCCTCTTGACCGCCTCCAATCTAATAAAACTGAAACCCTAACCTAACCTAACCTAACCTAACCTAAAATCTGGCCCGTGCCTGCCAGTTCTTGAGGCGCGCGAAATATGCAGTTACAAGCAATCAAAGGTTTCAGCAAATTGCTCCAGGTCCGCCAGAGTGTGTCCCATCTCCTAGCTATACAATATAACCTATCTATTACAAGCACGGCCGTTAATGAACCAATCCGCTTATGAATGACTTGACGTTCGACTTGAGAAAAAATTTCTTCGAAGTTTGACCCATTTTTGATTGAGCCGGCTCGCGAACAAGCTCGTCGATTAATGAGCGCTCGAGTCATGACATTATCTGCTCGATAGGCTCGCGAACAAGTTGTCAGATAGCTCGATAGCTATACTTTAGAATGTGAGCCAAGTTCGAGCCTGAGTTTGAGCTACAATCGACATTTTGTCAGATAACTCGATATTTATTTGTTAATCTCATTCGGGGACTTCGTTAAATAAAATATGATAGAACTGCTTCTAATAAAGTCACAACAAATTATAGTAATTAGTTCTTCGTATTTTATTTTTTCAATATGGAGTCTTCATTTTATTCTTACTCTTCGACGTTGATTTGATGTAATATAAGAGGATAGGGTTTGAACTTTGGAAGCATGTAGGAAGAAGAGAAATTTGGAGAAAAGGCCAACACATGCTCCTCCCTCAAGCCAAAGTACTCTCTTCCCAAAAGGCGTATTTAGTATTTACCTCCGTTTCGCCCAATCACCGTCCCCGTCTATTCCTTTCCGTCAATGTCATAACGATCAAGGTAAAGGCTCAATTGATCCCTAAACTATAGGGCCAGAACAAATCTGTCTCTAACTTTAATATCTCACAGAATTCCGATGGAATAATAGGTTTTATTTGGACTATAGTTATATCAAGAGTGAAAATGAAGAAAGCTTGCGAGAGTAATTCGACGTCCGAATAAGAAAAAACTAGTCTTGAATTATCCCTACTTAATTTGTAGGATTGGTTATGAGTTGGCTCAATTTGGTGACTCATTGAGCTATTTAGTGCTCAACGAGCTAATTGATCATCGGAATTCATGTTTGTATTTTATACATTTTCAATGTTTACTTTTTATTGCTATTTGGCACTTATGATAATATTACCATTTTCTTAGCAATAAAACCAACCAGTGCTTAGCTAGACAAACTTTATTCATGAGCATTCATTAAGTCAAAGTCGAGCTGATCATATCATGTAAAAATCCGACTCGACTAAGCTGGATTGCAACCTTATAAGTATGCACGAAATTTTTTAGTTTTTAAATCATTTAGCTATACCTTCGAATTGATAATTGACCTAAAATGTTTTGAATTCAGAAGGAAAATGCCTACCGAACTATGTAAGTGCTGCTACGTCACATGTCCAATTAGTTTGGTAATCAAAACAGGTATATACTGCCAAGTTTAGAGGGCAATATGGGTAATTGGGCCGAACCCTAACGCCGTCATAATGATAAACCCCCTCAACTTCAACCCTAGTAACGGAGGACACGCCCCAGTCGACGGAGACGGACGGCAAGTCCTGCGTGGTCCCCTCCCCATCCTTCCGTGCTGCTGCTCCTCTTCGAAATTCGTTTCACATCAAGACCTCACTTCCAGAAAAGAGGAAATCAATTGGCTTTCACCATTTCGCACCGCCCCTTTCTATTTCCGGACCAAAACAAAAAAACCGCACTCCCACAGTTTTCTCTTCTCTTCCTCCTCCGCTCCCAAACAGACCGAGAGAAGAAGCAGGTTCGATTCGAGCAAGCTGGCGATGGCGAGGGGCAAGATCCAGATCAAGAGGATCGAGAACTCGACGAACCGGCAGGTCACCTACTCCAAGCGCCGCAACGGACTCTTCAAGAAGGCCAACGAGCTCACCGTCCTCTGCGACGCCAAGGTCTCCATCATCATGTTCTCCAGCACCGGCAAGCTCCACGAGTTCATCAGCCCCGCCGCCACGTCAGTCTACCTACCTACCTACTTCTATTTCCATTCAATCCCTCTCTCTCTCTCTCTCTCTCCAATCTGAAACCCTAGATTTCCGATTCCAGCTGTGAGCGAGCTGAATCTGAGTCGATTAGTTTCAGACCGAGCTTTTTTTTAGATCCAACAACTTTTCAATCTCGTTGAGCTGAGCTGAGCTTCGGATTTTTGTTTTTTGTTTGTGTGGTTTGGTTATCCGGCGCGAGCGCAGAACTAAGGGGATGCTGGATCAGTACCAGAGAGCTCTCGGCGTCGACATCTGGACTACTCACTATGAGGTCTGTTCTCTCTTCTTTCATCCATGTTTGCGTTTACTCAAGGAGAAGACGAAGCTCTCTTTCTCTCTCTTAATCAATCTGTTTGTTTGAGTGCAGAAGATGCAAGATCACTTGAAGAAGCTGAAGGATATCAACAGGAATCTGCAGAAGCAGATAAGGTGCGAGAAAGAACTTTCCAGATCTGGTTCAGATTCGGTTTCGATTTCGGTTTTATTGACTAAGATGAATGGATTGATTAATCCCACAGGCAAAGGATGGGAGAATGCTTGAACGATCTGGAGTTCGACCAGATGCGCGCTCTTGACGACGAGATGGACAACGCTGTTAGGATCATCCGCGAGCGCAAGGTTAATCTCTTACCAGCTAACGAGATATCCTTCTAAGAAAATCGAGTTTCCAGAGATTCTGTGATAATTACTAATTAGATTCTATTTTGTTTGATTATCATGTTGTTTATTGCTTGATGTTAATTGTGGGTTAGGATAATGTCATGCAAATTGATTTGGCTAATCATTGACAGAGGTTTTGTAGATTACTGAATACTGATAAGTGATGGTAATTAAAACTGGGTTAAGTTAAGTTAATTTAATTAAGTCAGAACCCACCATTGAATAAAATAATGTGATAATAATAAATGATAATTTATTGGCTTGGAACAGAACCCTAGCTATAGTTTTGAGTAGGAATTAGGGAATGATTGCATTTTCACTTTTTTTGCACGCATGCTTCATGTTAACAATGATTACTACTCCCCCTCCTAATCAGCTAATGTAATCCCCCAACTGCTGACTTTTGGTTTTATGATGGTCCACAGAATCAGGTGATCTCCAATCAGATTGAGAGGCACAAGAAAAAGGTAATAATAATCATAATCGTGATTACTGAATTGACTAGCGATTGATTGGTCATTTACTAGTACTAAATTAAAATCTTATTCCTTTTTTTAACAGGTCAGGAACGTGGAGGAGATACATAGAAATCTTCTGCATGCATTTGTAAGCATCCCAAAAAGGACTCCTCTTTTATCTTGTCATTTCATAATCAAGCTATAGACATAGCTCGATTTGACCATATTTATAGGGCTATTAACGTTGTTGGTTGGCTGCTATTTTTGGGTTTGTGAATGAATGAATTAAAGCAAGAGAGAGAGGAAGATCCACAGTATGGTTTAGTGGATAATGGAGGGGATTACGAGTCTCCAGCTGTGATTGGCTTCCCAACGGGCGGCTCTCGCATCTTCGCTCTGAGGCTTCAGCCCAACCACCACAATCTCCACAGTGGGACTGGATCCGATCTCACCACTTTCCACCTGCTTGAGTAAGGTTATTGGAGCATTTGGAGAAGATCTGCGTCTTCTTCTTCTGTGTGGATGCTCAATGTGTTGTTGTCCAATATCTACCTTGTCTACTTAGTCTCCTCCTACTGCTACTACAAAGAATGGATGGAAGGCTGGATGCTGTAAGGTATTGTAACGTGTACTTGTACTAGAGACTAGGCATCTTTGAGGGAAAACTCGGCTCCTGATTTCCTTGCCTTGGTCTCCAAACTATAAAAAATGTATCATGTATCTGTGTGTGTGTGTTATCTGCGGTGAACTCAATTGTGGGTGTGTCTTGAACTGTCACATGTCAGGCTTGTTGACTTGTCTATGTAATTTGTATCTTGACCAAGAAATTGGAGTGTGCCTTATGGGTTTTTATTTATAAGTATAAGTGTGACTGAAGGCTAATTCAAACCTATGTGGCTAGGATGGAAACAACATAGGTTTGTTGTTCATAGCCACATTTAAGATATGCAATATCGTTTAGCTTATTGAATTTTTACTTTAATGTTCCATTATTCCTCTCATAGTTTGTCATCTTTGTTTAGAATAAAATTGGTATATTTGTTATTTTACGCGGTATGTAGCTAGGGCTTCTTCTATACCTACTTTGAACAATAATTCTTATCTATATGCAATATATTTTTATATGAGGTAATGTTGTACTCTTTCTAACTGTTGATCATAAATAGCTTCCTGTAGCAAATCTTTGATGAAGTAAAGTTAGACTGAAATTCTCCAATCTCCTTAAAAAAAGACAAAATTAGACTAGAGTTGACTCTGATAATATATTGTCAGATACATAAGAGTAGGATATTTGAACAAGTATACTTAAGAGAAACGAGTTCCAAAATATATTTTCTAAACTTTTTCTTAAACATGATTCATCATACAAATAGTTTAGATTGCTCGAATGCGCTTTCTTGATTTATCATGAAAAAAGAAAACATAACCCGATCACATATGTATACAAAGAACTAATAATTTATGAGTATATCATGGTCAGTAACATGCAAAACCAAGATAAATACAATACGCAACTTGTACATGTATGTCGAACTAGAGGCCCCTACATAACATTAGCGTATCCACCAATAGACATGAGTAATCCCCTAGCTTTGACAAGAGGTTCTTTAATTTTTTTGTAACCAACGAGCTACATATATTAGATCAGCCGTTGTCCGTTGATGCTATCTATAGGGATAGGGCCTAGGGGAGGTTTGCTGGTGGTGGGCTTTCCGAACGTCGTGTACCGCGTCCATGGATAAGTAGAAGGCAATCTATCGTATAGAGTTGGAGAATAATGGATGCCTCTCCATTTTAAGCTTTCTTTCTCTTGCCGGGCATCGCCTTCGTGAAACAAACACCACATCATATAGATGCCGATTTTACACCTCAACGCACAAGTCATTCGCCACTCGTCCTTTTCCGTTTGGATGTGTTTTTTTTTGTTGGTTTCATCTTAGCTACCATGTACCCTTACCATAGAGCTTCATGTGCAAAACTTTCGTTGTTGAGGGTAGGGGCGGCCATAGATTAAAATTAATTGGTCATCCATAGTTAACGGTTATACCATTTACCGATTACAAGTTAGTACCACAATCAGTAATCGAATAGTTGGTTAACCGACAGCTCTACGGAATATAAATGTCTATGCGTTTCTTTCTTCCAAAAACGTCACATTCGAACAAACAAATTCTTCCCCTGGCTTGACCCTCTTTGCCATTTCTCAATTTTCCTCCCTAAAATCCAAAGAGACATACAGTAACGTTGACTCCGCAATTAAAATGCAGGCGTCAAGATTGAATTGAGAAGATCAGATGGCTGATGTTGAGGAAAGATTGCGAAGATTCTGTCAATAGCTTCCCTGTCCTCGACCAGTTCGCACTCATCACTCTTCTCCTTCCTCTCTTTGTTTTCTTCTCTTACTGCCACCAACATGAACTACAAGCCAAACCCAATCCACTAATCATATCGCTCCCAGATACTATGTGACCGACCAAATCCTAACCCACTCCACATCGGTACCCCTCCCAGAACCAAAACCTGTATCATCTCGCCTGCCGGATTCCCTGGCTCGACTGTTACACCAGAGCTGATTCCTTCTCCTCCTCCACTCAATGCCTTTACTTCCCCTTCACATACAACGACTCCTTGACTCTGTAATTTGACATCGTCTTCGTTGTCCTCCATTAACTTGAGCTTGAGTCATATATCCAGGATAATTTAATGCCATATATGAAAAGTTGGGTTTGCATACCCAAAATAGAGTTCATTTTTTTTTTTTTGTATTTGCTTGTCAGTGGTGTTAGAGCAAATGGAGCTCATCTTCCTGATAACCGATTATCCAGTTATCGATTAACCGATTATATAAAAATGCATGGTTAGCGATAAACACAAACTGAAGAACGATCCAGATAACCAAAATAACAGTTATGATTATAATTGAATCGGCTAACAAGCCTAGTTGTGGGAATCTTCCTTTCTAGGAAAACAAGGTCATGGACCTTTTTGTACAATTTTTTAATTTTTACAATAGCAGCTGGAAGCTTCGCATAAATTCAAATACAATTTTGGTCCGTGGCTTGAAATTAAGTTACACCAAGACTATTTTTTGTACAAAGTTTCTTTAGCATGTACAAGATTCTTTCTGAGGTGGACTCCAATCACGTACATGTTTATGCAAAAATCTCATAGGAGCAACTGTATTGATGCGTTTAATAAATTCCTTACTAAAAAATTTCCCAGTTCCCCTTCTGTTGTTTATCGCCAAAATCCAAATTCTCAATAAAAAGTCTAAAATAAATTTAAATAGACTATTCAGTCAAAGGTCAACAAGAAGCAACTCCCCCGCCCAGCCCACCCAGTATTCAGGCCTTTATCCCCGGGGCCCAGGCCCACCTGGTACCAGCAACTCCCGGTTTCCCCGTCACCTTCATGACTCATGAGTCATGACTCATAAGTTGAAAACCGAATCCCTAAAGAAAATGAACTGCTTCGCACGTGCCCCACTCCGTCCCTACACCGATTTCACATTGGATTCGCGCACTCGCCGGCCCGCTGACCGCCGCCGCCTCCCTCCGCCAACGAAACCGTTCTCCGCCGCTCCACTCCTCAACAAATTAAAAAAATTAAAAATAAATATTACAAAAAAGGAAGCCCACTCTCTCTCTTCTCTCTTTCCCTTCCCCGCAGCGCGCCGTGCCGTTATTCCCCCCTTTTCTTTCTCTGTTCCTGTTTCTTTTTCTCGGCGCTTTCTCAGAGCACAATCACTCCCTTTGGAGAAAAGGGGTCGAAAATAAAGAAAACCAAGGCCACTGAAGAGCGAGGACGACGAAGGTAATTTTTCACAGACGGCGGCGGCTTCTTCTTGCTGTTTCTGCGGTTTGCTGTGGTGTTTAGTAGCCGCCATGGGAGCTATGTCTCCTCTCGCTGCTCCTTGGGTACCAGAGGACGATCTTCTCTTGAAGAATGCCGTCGAGGTGATTTCTTCTTCCTCTTCTTTCACTTCTCGAGTAAGTTTTTTTTCTCGTTGTTGCCCGTTTGTTTGTGTGTACCTTTTGATTAGGAGGTCTTTTTAGTTCAGAACCAGTGCCATGGGGTTAAATTCACCTGTTCTGTGGAGGAATCTTGAACTCGTTGCTGAAAAATGGTGTCGCCTTGGTAGGCTGGGTTTGAATTTAGAGTTAAGAGGCTTTTTTTCGTTATGCTGCATGCCTGTTTTTCAAATGCCATTCTCAAGAGTTAGTTCTGTTTGTTGAATCAGGGTTTTAGTTTCTTACTGGTTAGGTTGGCTTTGAAACTTTGAGTGACACAACTGTAGAAGCATTTTCCTGCCAGGTTCAGGGCAGGGAAGATGGTGGTGGATGGGAAGGTTGGTGAGGAAAGAGGGAAGGATGGTGCTGTGGGCTTTTCACTTGTCTTGTACTGGTTTAGATAGAAGATTCTCAATCAGGGGTATCAATATCTGGCATTGTAGGGTTTAATGCAGTTGAACAGCTTAGAAGCACCATGAAAGTTCTACTATCCTAGCTGGTGGTTTTATTTGGTGTGGAAGGATTACTAGCAACAACCCTGAAAAGTGTATACACCTCCTCAAGTACTGACAATGTAACGATTGTGCTTGGCGACGAAGGAATATATCTTCTCTGGCAATGGACAACTTATCCCATCTCAGCCTAGGAGATAAGCCCTTAAAGTACTTGTGTATATCAATAGAATGTTTAAATCTGGTCAATAGGCTCCAAGTTCTGTGCTTCATCTCTAGTGTAGGTATCTTTGGGTTCCGTCGTCCCTTATTCGTTTGTCAACCACATTGCTTTTCCATTTGACTGTATTGCTGAGTGTTGATGGACGGATAGACCCCTTTCGTTCTTGGTACATTTTAATTTAAATGAATACAAAGAATCATGTTTGGTTTTTCTTAAGTTCGTTTCTAGATAATTTGAATTTTCATTAAAGAAATCCAAATGATTGGTTTATTTCCTTTGATGGTTGTAGGCAGGTGCTTCCTTGGAGTCACTTGCTAAAGGCGCCGTGCAGTTTTCGAGAAAATTCACAATTCGTGAACTGCAAGACCGCTGGCATTCTCTCCTATACGATCCAATCGTGTCTGAGAAAGCTGCTTTAAGGATGATTGAGTTTGAGTGCGCTTCATCAGCTCTTCCATCGAAATTTACCAGGTGTGGGAATTCAAAGGATAACAAATGTATTACTGGAAAAAGGGGAGCTGAAAGTATCCGTTCTAGTTACTATGCTTTGCGTAAAAGAATCCGTAATCAGCCATTTGAATCCATTGATCTGGATTTTCTTATGGGCCCCTGTGATAACAATTATGTTGGAAGTGGAGATGTCCCTTTACATGGACACTGCATGCTAGGAGGTCCAGTTCAAGGTCTTGCACTTCGGGAATCCAACATGGATGTCCTGCGCCATACGTTGACTGAAATTGAGTTTGGTAATGGTGATCCAGTCTTTCATTCGCACTTTGAGAATACAGTTCAAGGAGATTTTCTAATGCAGCAAGATAATCTTCCTAGCGAGATGGCAAGTATGATGGGGGAGAATTTGTCTCACTCTGGCAATGGAACAGTAGTGGACGAATTTTGCATGCCAGATAGATTATCCTTGAACGGTGACCAGGTACAAGGATGCCCAAATTTTAATGGAGACCAAGGGTTTAGTTCAGAGGCTCTGGAATGTGGGTCACAATTTGAAACTTTGGAGTACTCGTGTCCACTTACTGCGATCCCGCATTGGGCTTCTGGTGAAGGCATGACGACGATGCCTGCTGAACCTGCTGACAATGGTTTGAGAGGAAAAGAGCTTCGTGCGGGGGATGGGTTTTCTCTTCACATCGATGCTGCTGCTGCTAAAGATGCGGATCAATCAGGATATAATGGTATGGCGCACATGGACTCTGATTTGAGGTTAGAGATACCAAGTGAGGAGGAGCTAAAAGATGCTACTATTGGAACAGAGGGTTATCTGGCTGAACTTTCACACTCTCTATTGAACCTTACAAATGACGACGAGCTTCTATTCATGGATGTCGATGGGAAAGATACAATCATTGATAAGTCTTACTATGATGGCCTCAGTTCCCTGTTGTTGAGTTCACCCAGTCGCGAGGCCAGTCAAGATCATCTGACTCCGAGTGTTGATCATCCTGAAAATCAGTTGAACACAAGTCCTGTTCAAGTGTTGGATGAAGATATCAGAATGCACCATGGGAGAGATTCTGTTTGCACTGATGAGGTCCAGTGCCTTGACACTCCATCAACTTCATACTCTGACTTATCTGAACTCAATTGTGAAGTTGTTTGCTGTGTGCTGAGCACAGAAGATCCTGAGGTACCATGCAATGATCATGTTGTCTTTACCAACAATCACTCACGTCGCAAGACAGTTGCAACTGTACCAAAACGACCTCTACAACCTTCTGGCAAATTGAATTCTTCCATAAAAGCAACGACCAACAATCAACAAAGAAGTAGCAAAGGGGGAAAACCATTGTTGCAGACGGATTTGGGAAATCCAGGGAAACCTCCCAAGTCTTCTCAGTTAATAAGTTCACAAAAAACGACACCAGAGGTTACCGTTCATCGTTCAGTTGGTCATCCTGGAGTTAGAGTTGAGTTTGCCAGGAATGATTCCACTGAAAGGGCTGCCGCCAGTGTTCTTGTTAATGATGATTCAACCATTCAAGTAAAGTCATCAAAGGATAGAAATAGTGCAAGTCACATGCCTGCTCAGATGACGAAAGAAACTTCAGGGACTGCCGTGGCAAGGCATATGAGCCACAGTAACACTGGCTTGTTAATGGAAAGGCCAGCAGCTGCCGTTTCTAACGAACATGATACGTCTTGTCGCGTGACAAATGCCGGTGGTGTTAAACAAGAAATAGATCCTTCATCATCAGGGTTTCCGGTTCATCAAGGTTCAGTTGATGCTGTCGTGCCTGTCAATAATTCTTCCTTGGAACAAGGAGCAAAGAGTACGTCGGATCAAGAAGACGTACTGCTAGAAAGTGAAGATGATGTCCCATATTTTTCAGATATTGAAACAATGGTATGCCCGTGGTTTATATCCTTTGTTGATTCTTTTGTTTGTCATCTTGGAATCTCTCTTGATCTTGGTCTGATTTTCCATTTCAACTTGGTCTGATTTTCCATTTCAACTTGGTCTTTCTGAAACAGATACTTGATATGGACTTAGATCCAGAAGAGCAGGACTTATTCTCCAACGACCAAGGTAGTGCACATATCTGTTTTCTACCGATTCATCACTTTTCAGTCTTGGTCTTCACTCACTTACTATCAAATTTATTTCAGAAACCCAACGGGTCACCTTTCTCCCAATCATTAACCGTTTCATCACTTTTCAGTCATGGTCTTCACTCACTTACTATCAAATTGATGTCAGAAACCCAACGGCTCACCTTTCTCCCAATCATTAACCGATTCTTAACATGGTGCTTACATCTAATCAACTGGTGCAGTGTTGAGATACCAGCAAGAGGAAACAAAGACAGCAATCTTGAGGATGGAACAGAGCGCACATGCGTATACGCAAAGAGCCATTGCTTCACATGGAGCTTTTGCTGTTTTATATGGTCGTTATTCAAAGCATTATATCAAGAAGTCCGAGGTACAAGGAAATGCAACAAACTTTTGATAAACAGATTCTTTGGGTTTGGTTTTCCTTCTAAGCTTTCGCAACTGTGCAGGTTTTGCTGGGTCGGGGGACAGAAGACACTTCCGTCGACATTGACTTGAGTAGAGAAGGACGCGCGAACAAAATATCCAGACGACAGGTTTGTTTTACTTTCTGGATCATATATTCAAACAGTTATGAGATCTCCACTCTTTGGTTCCCCTAATATCGTCCCGAACCCACAACCAACTATGCTAAATGCTTACAGGCGATCATTAGTCTGGACGAAAGTGGATGTTTCCATCTGAAGAACGTAGGCAAATTTTCCATCTCAGTCAATGACAAGGAAATAACCCATGGACAGAGTCTAAACCTTACTCCCAGTTGTCTAATCGAGGTTCGTTCCCTACAAAAATCTTCTTTCCATTGCACTATCTACCAGATGCCTTGAAATCCTTATTTATCAACGAGTTGCAGATAAGAGGGAAGCCTTTCGTGTTCGAGATAAACCAAAGCTGTGTGAAGAGGCATCTCAACCGCGCAACGACCAAAGAGCTGAAGTGAAGCAGGCAGATGGTCCTCGGCAGGTGGCCGGAAACGATTGACCAGTTATCCCTTCTCTCCATCAATTAACTCTCTCCCACAACGATTTCACCTCCCTGTAAGCTTCGGCGACAATGGGGTTCCACAGCGATCTGTTCGCCGTCAACCTGAGTGGCAACGGCCTCGGGGGACTGCTGCCGGCGTTCCTCTGTTTGATGCCGATGTTGTCGGCTCTGTCTCTGGAGAACAATAGGTTCACGGCGATGATTCCGGCGACGTATGGGGTATAGGCGTCGGCCGTGGAAATTTCTGGTGGGGAAGATTCCGGCGGCGATAATGGGGATGAAACCCGGGTCGGGTAATGTGAGCTTGGTGATAATTGCCTGTATAGGTGTCCTGATGATCTCTTCTTTTGCCGCGGTGGGTATCAGAAGTCGGTTGTGGAGTGTAAGAGATTCTGGCCGGCGAGGATGATTCCATGATCGAAGGATATACTATACATAGTATTATAAGTAGAATTATACAGAGCTTTTTGTCATTTTATGTTGGAACTTGGAACTTGGAACTTGGATGAATGAGGAGTATAGGCTATTTACATTTTCGTATTTGTCTTTTTTTTTTTTGGTACATCTGAAATTAATGACAAACAGAACTAAAAGGAGAAAACAGTACGGTACAACTCAATGCCTTAAATAGATCTTCCCAGTGCTATCACCAATCACCAATGGAGCAATGTTCGTTGGAGGGAATGGCAATAGTATTTCCCCCATCTCGTAACCATGACCAGCTGTTGCTAGTGCATCTGCAACTTGATTTGCCTCCCGGAACGTGTGCTGCAAAATACACTCCCAGTTTCGATGGATGAGAGAGTAACAGTCTTGAAGAATGACACCTAGTGGGTGATGTGCGAAATCTGTAGTTTGGAGAAGTCGGACTGCCATTTGAGAGTCTGAAGCCACCTCGACCTTCCGATACCCCAAAACCCATACTAATGTCAACCCATCTCTCAACGCCCGTAGCTCTGCTTCAAGAACTGAACATTGACCAACCTTATTGGAGAACCCGACAATCCACGTCCCTGCTGAGTCTCGGAGAACGCCGCCAATTGCCGAGGATGGTGGTTCGGATATTTTGCTCCCATCAACATTGAGCTTCACCCAATCGACTCTTGGCTTCCGCCAAAAAACTTCCTGAGATGGATGGTGAGTGGGGCTAACACGCACACTAGACATGTATATCTCGAGAGCAAATCTATGAGTGATTTGCCAGAAGTATGGTTTAGTCCACCTCTCCCCTCTATGAACATATGCATTACGTTCCTTCCAAATAAGCCAAATAGTTGCTAGCACCCAACACCGTAGAGGAAGAGACTGAATGACAATATCGCCATCTCGAATCAATAACTGGGATAACCATAACTGTATATCTTGCTCCCAGAAACTTGAGAGTGACGGCGGAATAATAGTAGCCCATCGAACTTAAGCAAAATGGCAGTCTCTCACAGCATGTAGTGCCGACTCGGTTGCTTGCGAGCATCGAGGACAATTGGGCTGCACAGGTATATGCCTATAATGTAATAGACCCATAGTCTTAATACTATCATGGTACAACAACCAGATGAAGAAAGAGATGCGTCGAGGACCGGGTAGACGCCAAATCCATGTCCAACAGGTGGAAGGTGGGGATGAAAGTTGTCGTCTAGTATTGAACAACCACCAGTAGGCTGATTTAGGAGTATATATGCCACTGCTTGTTTGTCCCCAAATAATTTTATCTTGAGGATGCGATGCAAGTGGGAGGGGAACTTGAGAGATAATAGACTTGATATTAGCAGGGAGATAGAGAGACACCTTGTTCAAGTCCCAAACTGAGGGAGCAGTAATGAAATCAGCCACCAACATGGAGTCATGTGGTATCTCCAAATTCTCTGAAAGTTGGCTTCTCAATGGCCCTGCAGGTGTCCAATTATCATCCCAAAAATTAATAAATTGTCCATTACCCACCCTCCATCGAAAGCCCGACTGTAGAAAATGGTAAGCTCGACAAATGCCCCTCCATAAAGGAGATGCAGTAGTGGTTGAAGGAGTTGATCTAAGAGGTCCATACTTGAACCCATAACTTGAACCCATGGCTCTCTTTAGGAAAACATTTTCGTATTTGTCAATTCTAATGGATTCCAATTTTGGTCGAGCCGATCCAACTTAACCAAGCCCAATCTGTTTTATATCTGGCCCATGTTCGTGGGTCATCAATCGCAGGCCCAAATATTCTCGTTGGGCCAAGTCTTGGAACATTAGCCGCATAAACATTTCAAACTGGGCCGGCCCACTGCACATTTTGTTTTTTCTAGCATGGTTTGGTGTGTTATGATGGGGATAATGGATATGCCCCCTTCTTTGGTTCATCAGTGATTTGTTATAGCATAAAAGCATCCTTGTTTTCTTTTCCCCAAAATTAATTTTATATGATTGAAAATATATAAAGTTGGGTGCAATATCTATGCACCAAATGACACTAATTTTAATGCATGTAACGATAGTGTCTTACACGTATTGTATGGGCAATCCAATTTGTAATTTGAGGAACTATTCTAAACTCAACACAACGCTTGATAAAAAATTCGACTATTGACAATCGCGGAGAAAAGTACTGTCTATCGCATCAGACATAATTTTTCCTACTAAAGCTGTCGAACTATGCCGTCCAAGTAGGGGTGTTAGTTCGGGTCGGGTTCGGTTACCCAAACCAAAACCCGAAACCGAAAATCACTAAAACCGAACCCAAACCCGATAAGGACTTGCGGGTTCCGGTTACCCGAAACCCAAAAATTCCTTATCGGGTTCGGTTAAAGTAAAACCGAAACTCGAAAACCCGAACGCCTAAAAATACGGGCTGAGTTCTATTCATTAGAGGTTTTTAGCCGGAACCCAAAAAATCGATAAGCAAAACTGAACCCGAAACCCAAAACGAACCCAAAAACCAAAAAATGTATATAATCGGGTCGGTTTCGGGTAAACCCGAAAAACCGAACCCGAATTGACACCCCTGCTTCCAAGTCACCTCTTCGTTTAGAACGAACTCATATTCTCATTCTTGTATCAATATTGCAAATGTGACTCTCTCTCTATTTCAAAACAGACCAAAGATAAATTCACAGGATATATGGAGACAAATACCATGCATTCAAATAACTCGAACCAAAAACAACCAGAAACAAGTTACAGAAAACGTCAAAGAGGGAATAAATAGGGTGGAGTAGTAGAAAGGGAATCTGATATGGCACCCATACCATACCTTATCCAACGAATCCGATGTTCATCAAATTATTATTCTTACCGGTTTTCAATGGATACCTTGTTTTTCTTTTGTCCTTCTAAAATTTAACATCATGATATTTCTCCTACCTCTTAAATATTACTATTATTTATTTATTTATTTATTTATTTATTTATCCTGTTCACGTACATTATCTATCATGATGTATTCTTTATCACTATCAGTTTTGTCTACATCCACGAGATTTTCAATTTTTCCAACATTACAAGAAAAAAATTATCAATTATCTCTTGTTTGCCCATTTTAAGTGTTATAAAGAGATATGCCATGGTGATCCTAGCGAATGCTTTTACAGACTTAGTTAAGGAAATATGTCAATATGTATAGCTTATACTGATATGTTCTTGAACGTCTATGTTTGCTACTACGATTCTAATATTTGATTCCCCACTCTAACAACGAAGCCACAATGTGAGTGACCGACACATGATGTTAGACGAGCACTTGAGAAAAATAAAATAATAAATAAATAAATATGATTAATCAAGCACACAATTTTATTATTTTTACAGTGAGACGCAATGAATTTTTTATATTATGAAAGATTTGTGAAATGTCGCTTATTTTGCAACTCGAATTTCTTCAATATATACAACCAGACAATCATTAATAAATTGGTCACTAATTAGATTTAAAGAGTGTTATTGAATAACTCCATAGTCTATTTCACAGCTCGTAGTTACAACTTACACCAAATACTTCAATAAAATTTTTAGACATCGAGTGTTTCAGAGATCATGATTTCAAATTTTGTAACGAAATAAATTTTCACCAAAATTGTGAAAAAAAGTATGTCGCTTGACACACCTCCCTTCACCTAGGTCCACCAATGACTAACTTACATTGTGGTCAAGCATGTGATGAAAAATGTGTTGATCCTAACTACAAAGGTTATTTATCTATGCATCCTCCATCCCCAAGGAGTACAAACATATATAATTGATTAATTATCGCGAGATTAAGTACGATAGGTTTTAAGAATTGGACAAGTGGGGAGACTGGTCAAGGTCAATTACTCTTGGCATGGGCTTCTGCACATGATGGTTATTAGTATTTTACGGCAACGGCCATCTTTTTGCATTTTCCCAAAAAGGGAACAAATCTAGCAGTTCGAGATTTTATGGGTTTGAATAAGTGATCAGATACTTGATTATTACTGCATGTGGTAAGAGGGATGTTTCCTCTTCTAGACACTCCACGATCGGATTGCTCATAATTCTTTTGATGGTTTACTTAGACCTTCTAATTTTAGTTTGGTATACATTTCCCCTCAATATCACCTCATGCTCATGCACATATATTAAGTCAACAAGGAAACCATCTCCTTGGCGATAGCTAAAAAGTGAATGATGCGGATGAGTAACTGCAAAACCAAAACCAACAATAGTAGTAGTGAGCTTTATGTACCAATTTTCTTTTTACGCTTGTCGCAACCTATAAAGAGATTTTTGAAGATCACACACCTGGTTGTTCCCTGAATGAGCAAATTAGACCTCCTATGTTAAATCACCATGAAGAAAAGTTTTGTTGACGTCCAATTGACGGATAAGCCAACCAGTCTGAGCTGCAAGAGCGATGGCACAATGAATAGTCACCAATTCAACTACTGGAACAAAGATGACATGAAAATCCACACCGTTTATTTGATTAAAGCCCTCTCTTGAAAACTTTCTCCCAATTCAATTTCATGTAGTGAAGCCATATGCTTGACTTAAGACTGTTCAAGCACTATATTACCTTCAGGCATGTAATTAGGAATTAAGTTAAGAGTGGGTTTGACTTTGTGAAAAGAATCATAAGAAGATTGTGTTTCAATTTTATACAATGACCCACCACTTGTTTTCACATAAAGAAAACTTCTAAAAAATATTAAAAACCATTACTAATCTATCATATGAAAATATTAAAAACCCTAGCATTCCAAACTGCTCACCGTGTCCCCAGTGGCGGAGCCAGAGGCGTTTGGCTCCGTCACGAGACACAGGTAAGTTTTGGTAAAACGATTATAAATCCCTTTGTATGCATATGGAAAGGATTAAACTCACCGATTTAAAGCGACATAGATATATTTTGCCACTACACTAAAGCTCACTTATTGTCATTTGATTGTCATAACTTAATTTAGTACACTATAAGTGAAATCGCTAATCGAAATAATTTATATTATGAAAAAAGGACACTTGTTTACACCTAAAAATAATTTGGCTTTAAATACAAGTGGCGCGGCAAGATTAACGACGCCGCAAGCTCAGTAATATTGTGGTATGGAGCTGTGAATTTTAGCAATGTCGCGAGCTAAACAACATCACGGGGGTCGGCAGTGCTGCGAAGTCAGTGGGGTTCAACAACGTCGCGGATCCAATGACTTCGTGAGCAAGTTTGACAACGTCGTGGAGTTCAGCGAGGCTGCAAGCTCAACGACGTCGCGAGGTCAACGACGCTGTGGTGGGTGACAACGCCGCGGGGCTCAACGATGTCGCAGTTGCAATGAGATTATGATGTAGATGGAGTCGCGACATTGTTTATTCAATACAGTGGCGAGCAGGTCAAGTCTTGCGGCGTTGCGAGTCTAAATTCAACAAGACCGTGAGCAACACCTTGAGATAAACAATTTTTACGACGTTACAAGTTCAAAGATGCCGAGAGGTTGG